CCCATGTTCAGAAAACAAACAAATTTGATTAGTATGCTGCAACTTTTACCCACCCAGCATGTTGAGACCGTAGGGTGGCCCAGCCCACCAGAACTTCTGTTCTTGTCTCCTTCCTTCTTGGTAGCAAAGGGCTTTTTACTGTGTTTGGGAAAGGTATTGCATAATTGGAGTGGTACCATAAAAAACTGTTTAATCTGGGTCATTAATATCCAAAGGGCCCCCAGACTAGGTCTTTGGACAGTGCTATAATAAATATGCTGACTGATATGGAAGAAGCCAGTTCCTCAGATTTCTTGATCCCTGGCTGCTTAGGCAGATGAAGAAAGTGCTGTAAGGAAGCGATTGGGGGAAAATGCTAGGGGAGATGGTGAAAGAAAGCGGAAAGGATTGTTTTGGCTATGCTTCAGATAAGTTGTGATGCTCTAAGGGTGCAGAACAAAGTTGGTCAGTAATAAATGATAACCCTTGAGCCTTCTATTATTATAACCATAAGAAATGTACGTGGTAGAATTTTAAAGGTAATCAGTACAATATATGAAGTTACAGGAGCTAAACTACTAAGAAATCAAGGAGGAAAGAAGTGTTGGCAATATGTTAACTGTGGCAAAAATTACTGTAGCAAAACCTGGAAAAGAAGGAACATGCTATTGATAAGCTTCAGGGAGTCTGGTACATAATATACACCTGTAATGCTAGGAAAAAGGACACTCAAACTGTGGGGAAATGACAGTACTGTGGAACTTAGAACTGATGAGATGCATTGGCAAATTTAGTTGGATTTTTTTAGGGTACTTAAATGTGTTTCTTGTTTGAAATATGCCTGCATTTTTGTTTCTTTCCTCTCTTGTTATATTTCTACATATGATAAAATGTGAATTAGGTAAAACCATAAGTGTTTTTGATTTTGGCTGGGTCCCCCCCCCTTGATATGCTAAGAAAATGCTGTTGCGGATCTTATGTGGTTCGAAATCTGAGAAATTTTAGCTGAGCACTTGTCTGGCCATTTACTATAACAATAAAGGAGAAACTTTTCTATCTTCAGCCATAAGAAATACAGAGCACTTCTGAAGAAAGAGAAACGAAAGGAAAAAAGACAATTACTGGCAAGACTGAGAGATTCAGGTAAAAATCCTATTGATATATGTGTCACATCTTTTTGCCTTTTTTGTTGTGAAGGATTTAAAAAAAATATTGAGAGACAGTTGTCACTGGTGGATATTTAGAAAAGTATTCCAAAATTTTAAAAAAGTTTTACAAAACAGAAATTACCAATTACCAAAGTGAGGTTATATTATTGTAGCTGCACAATTGCAGTTTATTAGGGTCCACAAATATTGTTTGACCTATCCTCTTCTCAATATCCAATGCATAAATTAAAACTCTTGCAGGAAAGGCAGGAATATATTTCACTTCTGCTGGACTAAACAGCTGGAGAGACTCTAGCATTTATCTTACATATACCTGAAGCTGCTTTATACTGAGTCAGAACTTTGGTCTATGAAGATAAAATTTGTCTACTCTGACTGGCAGCAGCTCTGCAGGGTCTCAAGCAGAGATTTTTAATACCACTTATTTCTAGATTGTTTTAGATGGTGATTGAGCCTGGGACTATCTGCATGCAAAGTAGATGCTCTGTCACTGAGTACCAGCCTGTGTTAATCAAAATGTGGTACAGGTGAGAGTTCTGGGGATAGATGTGTGCTGGTAAACATTATTTTTTGCTAAGGGCAGTTGCTTTCATGAGCTTGTGAATTGATTTGTTGGTTCCTGCTGTTCTGTATTTTTATAATAAATTTTGGGATTATGATATAAATCTTGAATAATCTGATATGACTGTGGGTTGAATCCAACTATGCTTTTCCATTCAGATCTTTGGAGCCAATCAGTAGACCATTCATGAAAGATTACTGCACTTGGATCCAATCATTGTTGTTAATGGGGTGGTAGGGCTGCCAAGCCGCGGCGGGGGATCCGCACGTCTTCACAAGATCCCTGCCGCGGGGGACAGCGATACGCGTTGCACCGCCGTCGCCAGGATGTGATGCTACGTGTCGCTCTGGCAACGGGACTCCAAACAGCCCCGTTGCCAGAGCGACGCATAGCGTCACATCCTGGTGACGGCGGTGCAACGCGTATCACTGTCCCCCGTGGCAGGGATCCTATGAAGACGTGCGGATCCCCTGCCGCGGCTTGGCAGCCCTATGGGGTGGATCCAGCCATTGTCCACAGAGCTTCCTCCAGCCTGAGAAGCCTTCCGATTTAAGTGGCTCTTCCTGCTCTGTTAGATCCACTTAAATTGGAGGAAGTTGCCTTAGGATGAAGGAAGAGTCCTTGGAGTACTTCTCCATTTGAGGAAGAGCCTTTTAAGTTGGAGGAAGGCTCCTTGGGCTGGAAGAAAGCTCCAAGGAGTGGTAAACTGGGGTAGAATCCATTATAATGAAAATGAAACTCTGCTATAACTCTGCTTTATGTAATGAGTTTGGGTAAGTCCTCAGATGCACCTTGCAAGCTTAGGTTGCATCAACAGCACATTTTATTGGTGGGCAAGAAGGCTGCTGTGTTTTTAATTTGATCATGGTCTGACAAATGAAATTCAAGAGTTCATAATCTTGAGAATAAAGTTTGAGTCCAGTGGCACCTTTAAGGCCAACAAAGTTTTATTCAAGATATAAGCTTTCGTGAATAAAACTTTGCTTGTCTTAAAGGTGTCACTGGTATCAAACTTTGTTCTGCTGCTTCAGACCAACATATCTACCCACCTCAACTAATCTTGCAAATATTCCACTTGAGCCCTGACCTGGATAGTCCAGGCGAGCTCGATCTCGTCAGATTTCGGACACTAATCAGCGTTGGCCCTGGCAAGTACTTGGAAGGGCAATCTCCAAGAAATACCAGGGCTGGGATGCAGAGGCAGGTAATATCGCCACTTCTCTGAAATGTCCTAGCCCCACTAGGGGATCACCAGAAGTCACCATGACCTCCAGGCTCACACAAAAAATACCAAAATAAAATAAAAAAATAAAAGAATGTTCAGCTTGATTTAAATTAATTGCAATACCAACAGGATGGAAGAACATACTTTCCGGGCCCTCAGCGTTTATGTGTGCAGCCTTAGCAAGCTAGAGATTCGTAACTGAGGCTAGTGATGTGCTGGCATGTTAATGTTTCATACATAGCATGATTGCACAGGTAGATTATATGAGAAAGTAATTTTATTTTGTCTGCATCTTTGGAATACTGTAATAGTCTCTATTGTATGGCAGTGATGGTCTGCAATTGTCAGACTTATAGAATATAGTGAGCCTCATGATTTTAAATCTAAAAATATCATCCTCTGGTCAGAAGCAGCAGAGAAAAATGCACAGGTGTCTGAAGAGGAAGAGCTGGATGAAGAAGAAGAACTGCTTGAAGCGGAAAGGTGAATAAAAGAGCCAGAAATATAATTTGCAGCTTGATCTCTCCGATCAGTTGACTGACTGTGCCCTTTGGTAGAGGGGAGTGTTCTTCTCTGCCTGCGATTTTGGGATAGTACTGATTTAATGGAAAGGCCGTATGCAGGGTCAGGAGGACCCTGGCTTTGTTGGGGGTTTGGGAGGACTTGCAAAGCCATTCTCACTCAGATGGCTTTCTGTTAAAAGTCAAGTTTTGTGGTTGACTTGGTTGTTTCTACTGTGAAATTTTCAATTGATTGATCGGTGGTCATTGAAAATGTTTTTAGATTGACCTATGTTTAATATGTGTGAGATTTTATATTATTGATAAACCTGCTGGTGTACCTATTGTAAGGCACCTTGAGTAATTTTTGAGAAAGGAGGGATAGAAGTATTTTCATAAATTTTAAAAAATCCTAGGTATTTACTCTGAAGTATGACTTGCCGACTTTAATGAAGTTTTCAAGTTAGTATATGAGAAATTGCAGCCTTACCTCCCCATTTTGAGAAATTTGCCGTAAAATTTACATTAATTTATTTATGTCTGTATTTCCCTATGCAAACTGTTTTCTTTGAAAAAAGCCAAATTTAACTAGAAAAGAAACTTTTTGACTTCCTTCTCCCTCTGTAGCCTGCCCCTGGGTTCAGTGAAGCCTCTGAAACACTATAAGGGTGGTGTGCAGTGGGAGGAGGGAACTGATAAAAATTGCCCCCCCCCCCCACTATTGACAGCAAATGTTAGGACACACAAATCTAGTAGCTCTTATTGTTTAATGGTAGCTAAGAACTAATTATATTTGCAGGCAAAGACTGCATGAAGAATGGTTGCTAAGAGAAGAAAAGGCCCAGGAAGCTTTTAGGATCAAGAAGGAAAAAGAAGAGGCAGTGAGAAAACGTCAGGAAGAAGAAGAGGTGCAGTATACTCTTTGACACAATTGTGACAAGCCTTTGGGGCTGAGATTCTGAATGTAGAAAATAATTATCTCACTCATTCCTTGTCTACTTTTGAATGCTTCTGCAGCACTAAACTGTAGCGATTGTGCTAATCAGTTCAACCTGTAGACTGGCTAAGCTTTCATTGATTGCTGTGGGCAAATTTTATTCAGTAAGGGTGCTAGTTAAAGGCTTTTGATAAAATGTCAGGTTTGGGCCTGATATTGTTACTGTATTAGGGAATGAAAAAGAAGCTGTTACCGATAGTCTTTGCATATTGGTAGTGAGTAGACACTTACCAAGTCAAATCTGTTGTAGTTCCTTTAATAGCCCAAAAGGTGCACCTGGACTGATGCTTTGGTAGAAGGGAAACTAATTTGATGTTCAGTTGACTAATCTGTTAAAAGACAAATTACTAATTGTTTAATTACTTGACAGCCTAATTTAATGTAATAGTGTTTTTCATAATTCTTTTTTTAAATCTTCTTTTTAAGATGACTGAATAGTTTTGTTTCTTCTTTTTTTAAGCGAAAAATAAAAGAAGAATGGGAAGAGCAGCAAAGGAAAGAACAGGAGGAGGAGGAGCGGAAACAGCAAGTGAAGAAAGATAGAGAGGTGATTCCTGCTCTAGGAGGATAAACACAGTTCATATCCTCTCACAGTAACCAGGGTAGAATTCCTAGAAAAGTGCGGGACTCTATATTGGTTTACTTCATTATGAAGGCTAAATGGGGTGGATATAACTTTGATTTTGGAGCACGTATTCTAGATTTAATCCTCATGCTAAATACAGTAAATGTTGTTTCAGGTTTACAGAGTACAGCATTCCATAACTGCTTATCAGGGTTATATAGTTCTGTTGTAATTATTGTTGCTATTTTTTTGGGGGGGGGGGGTTATATCCTGCCTTATCCTTAAAGCCATAGGCAGTTTACTATATTCCATTTTTCAAAAGGAACAGGAACTGGGCAGAGAAATAATCTCCCCAGAAAATGATTAGAATTGACCTTTGGCAGCTGCCTCCTCCTAGCTGGTGCTGTATTTTCCTCTGCAAGGGGGGGCACAGACTGAGTAGCTGTGGGCAGTCTGTCATTTTTGCACACTCATAAGAACATTAGAGAAGCCAATGTTGGATCAGGCCAGTGGCCCATCCAGTCCAACAATCTGTCACACAGTGGCCAAAAATATCAGGTGCCATCAGGTCTAGCATTGGGGCCAGGACACTAGAAGCCCCCACACACACTGTTGCTCCCCTCCCAGCACCAAGAATACAGAGCATCACTTGCCCCAGACTGAGAGTTCCTATCTATACCTTGTGGCTAATAGCCACTGATGAACCTCTGCTCCATATGTTTATCCAATTCCCTCTTGAAGCCGTCCATGCTTGTAGCCACCATCACCTCCTGTGGCAGTGAATTCCATGTGTTAATTACTCAGGTAACTACAGGATACCTGGCAGGATGGCAGAGTCAATGCAACTGGTGGCCCAATGTCCGCTACTTGTCACCACAGGTGGAATTCTTGCTGGGGGTCTCAGAGCACACACTAAGTATGCTTTTGTTAAGTGTGGTTTTATGATAGTGTCAGCTTCTAAGGAACAGTAACAAATGTAGTATAATAATTTTTAAGATCTTCATTTTAATTTGGAATTATATTGCGGCAATTCCTTAACCACTTTTCTACTCAAAGATGTTACAGCTCATCTTTACCAGACTCATTCATCAAGACGTATCTTTTTATGTAGCTTGTTGCGTATGGGAACGAACATATTAGAAAGTAGTATTTAATTATGCTCAGCAATTTCTGCCTTAATTCTTTGTTTACTTAGAGAACAGGTGATCTTACTAATCTGGCCCTATACAGTTTGGGGGGTTGGATATCTTCCCCTTTCCCTTATCTTTTAAGTTAACCTGTCCAAATCTGTATCAAAGTTGAATAAGCATAAAGTTGAGCAGTATACCACCAAGACAGTACTCCTTTCCAGGATTTGTTGAAACTAGGGGATTGTTATTTCTCACTTATCAAAAAGAAAAACTAAGTTGTGGTCAGTTATCAGTTTCTGTTACTACTTTAAAAAGCCAGTAACCCTGATTGGAAAGGGATATGACAGGTGTGTATACTTAAGTAAATATTGAATGGGGTTTTATTCCTTGTTCCATGAGGTGAAAATCTATGTGGAGTGTTTGAACATCCCGCTTTTAATCAATGTATGGTTAGATATTGCTGTCTTACAGGGTCTCTGTTGATTGCTTTTGGTTTGGGGTGATGTGGCTGACTTAACAAAATCTAAATGAAGGGCTTTTAAAAGGCCTTTTTAGGAGGGTGGGGGAGAAAAGCAAATACAATCAAGGGGGAATATTTATTTTTATTTTATTTAACCTTAGATTTACTATACCGCCCTAACCCCCGAAGGGGTCTCTGGGCGGTTCACATTATGTTGTTCTAAGAACTGCTATTCCTATCTAGGGCCACATCTAAAGTTGGGGGTGGGACTTTCTACCGGCAGTTGGTGCAAGCTAAAATGTGCTCAATACAAGCACAGAGGACTACAAGAGAAATTATCATGGCTAAGTGTTCAACAGTTGAATTCAGTGTACTTAGGATAATAACTGTATTTAGGATTGCACTGTGAGTGTCCTAATACTACATCTCAAGAGCTGCTTTCAAGCCAGTAGCTGTTTAAAAAGCATTTGAATACCTTTACTAGGGATGGGCATGAACCACAAAACTGCCTTTACCCTCCTGGACAAAAGACCATGTTGCATAGCACTCTTGGGATCCATACATTGGCACCTAGCTAGAATACCTACTGCAATTAGAAGCTCCCTTATGCAGCCACAGTAGTGACTGTGTTCCACTCATCAAAAATTGCACCACATTGATGCAGCAGATGGAGCTGGGCTTGCCTGGCCCTTTGGATATCCCTGAGCAACTATATCCTGTTTCTAAAGTGATGTTCCAGGCATGTTCCTCCATACCCGAGGCTGTGGCAGCAAACCCTGCAGGAGGAAATCCCATGATAAGTACTGGAAGGTGAATTTTGCCAGAGAATTTTAATAGGGAGGATTTTTAAGAAGCAAGGGCAGTTGGTTTTTCAAAGATGTATCCATGTGCCATAGAATATATCCCATATGTCGCTAGCAGGATTAGTCTGCAGTGATTCTTTTAACTTGTACTTACTGAAGATGGTAGCAGAGCATAACAAATTATTGCCTTTGCTTCCATTTAATTTCTAAACTTATTTTTTTCTATATCGGCTGTTAGGGAAAGAAGTTAGAAACAATACTTGGGAAAAGTGTTTTAAATATGTTTCAAGTCATGTATACTTTTGTGCTGAATGTCTTAATTGCATGTAAGCTTTCTTTTCTTTCTTGTGTTTAACAAAACTAAACCAAACTTTTAAAACACTTAGAATATGCAATCTTTAATGCTACGTATTAGGTTCTTAACGAAAGAAACCAGATGGGATGTCTGCATTCAAAGTTTTCACTAGTCCTGTGTTTGCACCATTTATAGGAGGCTGTGCAGAAGATGTTGGACCAAGCTGAAAGTCAGGTATGTTCGGAAGTCTTTTAACATAAAATGGTGATGCAGAGAATAGCTGTCTTGAGCCAGCCTCTCTTTCTGCTATCTGCTTTACATCATGCGGTATATCCCATAACAATAACATGCATTTGCTGAAATGGTTGAAAAACAGGATTTGGTGGAATGGAAAGTGAACAAGAAAAATTAAATGCTACCAGTATATAGTAAAAAGGAGGATTTGACCCATTTGAACCTGATCCAAAAAAGTGTGCAAAAGCAGCGTTCTGTGACAGATGATATACATTTACATTGAGGGAAAAGTTGTCAAAAGAGAGAACAATGTTGGTTATTGAAGGCCTTTACTTTTGAGATTTTTTGCTTGTTTACCTAGATTTCCATACTTAACATGTTAAGTGCTACACTTCCTTAAACCTTTGAACATAAAAAACATTTCAGACTGAAATGTATTCCCATTAAAATAAGCTTAATTGTGCTCATTTCTCACCACCACAATAATTTCACTATTGAAATATTACAACTTTATGTCATAGAAATATTGGTTTTGAAAAGCAAAGTGTTTTTATCTCCTGAATTCATTGCACGCAGACTTGAAATTCAATATACAGTACATTTATTTCCTCTGTAAAAGCTCTCCATGAGTCTTGGTTGTCATAACACACTGAATTGCCACTGAATGGGATTGCCCTGAGATTACTGATTTCTGGATTTTAGTTAACTTTTACAGTTGACCCTAGGAAATACAAATTGGGTATCCATTCACAATGCAAAAATGTGGCCATCTTGGTAACATTTTTCAGAACTTCTAAAAAGCTGCATTTAAGATCTGTTGGTGTTGATTTAAAGAAGAATTTATAGAACTAAGCATAATGCAAAATGAATTTGATCTTTTTAAAATAGATGTTAACTTTAATAGATAAAATATGTTCTCTAAAACAGCTAGAAAATGGAACTACATGGCACAACCCAGAACCTCCAGAAAATGTAGGAACGGAGAAAGATCGAGCCAATTGCCCGTTCTATATTAAAACAGGAGCTTGCCGATTTGGAGACAGGTAATTACTAAGTGATATTTGAGCCTTTGATTGTGTTTCATTTAGAGGCACGAAAAGCCATTTTCAGAGTTGCAGTTAATCAGTTGAAATACTTTTCCCATTAGTTCTGTAAATGAACAAATCTAATTAACTTGCTTGTATGGCATTTTAACTTGCAGGTACACAGGTTTAAAGAAGTGCAGAAATTACTGCAAATAACACATAGGAAAGCTTCTGTCAGTACCAAATGATTACCCCTGGTTTGAATGACACTTCTGTGCATGTCATAGAAATCAGGAGAGATGAGGAGATTGATGGGAAAGCATAAACGTTGGCTTGGCTTACTATCAAGTCACTGTTGAACTAACGTATTCTTAATTGTCTGCATTCAAAACATTGTGCAGTAAAGGCTACATAATTGCACATGTTTGCAGCATTTGTAGGTGTGTTTTTTTCTTTTTTCTAAGATGCTCTCGGAAGCATAACTATCCAAACTCCAGCCAGACTCTCCTTATCAGGGGTATGTTTGTTACTTTTGGGATGGAACAGTGTAAAAGAGATGACTATGACACAGATGCAAGTCTGGAGTACAGCGAGGAAGAAATCTACCAGCAGTTCTTAGACTTCTATGATGACGTGCTTCCGGAATTCAAGAATGTGGGAAAAGTTATTCAGTTCAAGGTATTAATATACAGACACATTTTGCTTCATCAAAGACAGTCCAAATTCAGTTATTTTCTTCTATTCACTTATGAAAATTCATAAATTCCTGTGAATTGGTGACAGTCTCCTAAGCAGGATAGTATCTCCCCACACAAAGTCTTGTGGAGAAATAGCAGAAAATCAGAGGCAACCCTAGTCTCCCAAGACCCCTTCACCCCCAACTGCTGTGGGCTTGAGTGTTCATGTGCACTGCTTTCATGCTGCCATGGCAGACTATATGTACAGGTCTCAGACAATTAGAATTTATATTTATTCAGATTTATTCTGATGGCAGAGAGCCTCTGCAGCTGCTTCCTCAGAGGTCCCCTGCCTGGACAGACTGACATGTGTTACAGCTAGTGAAAGTATCAACTACATAAGGCAGTCCAGTAAGGATACAAATCAACTGTGTTCCCAAGCTCAAACCAGAATACCATCATGACATCTAGAGTTAATAACTTTAGTAGAATCTTGTTCAAACATATAACATTAATCTCTTATTTAACTTTCGATGTAGGTCAGCTGCAACTTCGAACCGCACCTCCGGGGAAATGTGTATGTTCAGTACCAATCGTGAGTATTAAAGATGAACAATAAAACTTAGCAGCTGGTGAACCTGAGGACACATAAAACATGTAGCATTTTCTAAATGAGCCAGGCTTTCTCAACATAGCTGACTACTTCTGGTGTGTCATGCCTTGTTTGAATTTTACTTGTTTTGTGGTTGGTTCTAACATCTCAAATTTATTTTAAAGGGAACAAGAATGTCAGGAAGCCCTTGCTTTATTCAATGGCCGATGGTATGCTGGGCGGCAGCTTCAGTGTGAATTTTGTCCAGTAACCAGGTGGAAAACAGCTATTTGTGGTATGTCACTTTAAATTGATATGTCTTTTGAGTATGTCTTCCACATTACTGTATTACATGTACAGTGGCACTTTAAAGTAAATTCAGAATATTTTCATAACCGTTTCGGCCCTGGCTCTGACCTGGTGGAACAACATCAGGGCCCTGTGGGATCTTATGCAGTTCCACAGGGCCTGTAAGGAGGAGGTATTCTGCCAGGCATTTGGTTGAGGACAGCGACGGCTTACATCATGGCTGGCACCCTTCCTGGATGGATCCCTATCCCTTGAAGGGTCTACTCCCCCGCCCCCCCGGCCGCCCATAAAGCAACCACAGGCCAGAAACAGAAGGGGACCACAAATTTTGCCACTTAATTTTAATTAATGAGTTATGTTTTGATTATGGTTTTATTGTTTTAAATCTGTACATCACCTAGATCCCCACAACTGTGGGGATTAGGAGATCCAAAAATGCAATTAAATAAATAAAATAATAAATGCAACCCATAATGTTCAACAGTCTATTCTCATGGTCATTCAATAATGCCACTTCCACTGGAATTCCACCTCAATTTTATCTCCATTAGAAACCAATATTTACCACTTTGATTTGCTTTTAAAATATAATTTTAATAACTACTTAAAAATCTGTTTCAGGCTTATTTGAAAGACAGAAGTGCCCAAGAGGGAAACACTGCAATTTTCTTCATGTATTCAGAAATCCAAACAATGAGTTCTGGGAGGCCAACAGAGATATTCATATTTCCCCTGAATGGACCAAACATACTGGTAAAAACTCTGAAAGGAGAAATAGATCAGGCTACCATGAAGAATATTATAACAGGTCTAGGAGAAGAAACAGTCCAAGTTCAGATCATGCCTACAAAAGAAATGGAGAGTCAGAAAGGAAAAAGAGTCATAAGCATAAGAAAAGGCACCTTCCTGAGACCTCAGGGAGTCATGGAAGAAGACAGTCACGCAGTAAGAAGAGACACCGGAGTCGCAACAGGAGTTGGACACGTAGTCGTAGCAGAAGTTCCTCTCGGTCAAGGAGTAGAGGCAGGAAAAGGTCCAGTAGCAGAGGAAGAAATAGTTGAATTACTGCTGAAGAATGACTTTTCCAAGGTGTTTCTGGCCAATAAATTCGAATGCTACCTGAGCTATTGCATACTAGACATCGTATGCTGTACTGCTTTGTTCCAACTTAGGATAATGTGAGAATACATCTGTGTCTGCAGAGCTTATCTGCCTAGTTACAAGTTATTCTGGCATGAAAGCTTGGTGTTGCTTAGACTCTTGAGTGATTCTAGTGCACTCAATGTTCTACAATTGCTCTGAAGCTCCACACCTTTCCTTTAGAGGTCTATGATGTAACAGATTGTGTGATTTGTTTCTTGAACAGATAATATTTTCACTTATGCCACTGAGTAAATCCTGCATGTGAAAGCATTGTGGTAAATACAACTAATACAACTGGTCCCTTTGCTGATCTGTGCAAGAACATGCTATGATCTAAAAGGCAGTTCAAAATTTAACTGTGGTAGAGTACAGCTGCATTGTCACTCAAGTGAACAAAACCAAAATGTAATAGAACTTGGGGGGGGGGGAGCTTTCAATGACATCAGTTTCCTGTCTTTTGATGGTCTCAAGGTAGGGTCAGGCAACTGGAGGAGGCTTGATGACTGCCCAGAACTCCCTTGATTTCCCTGTTTGCAGCTTTCATTTCATGTGCTGCCCTTAACCTTTCTTCAGCTTATTTCTTCCTTCACTGGAAAGAGGAAGTATACTTTCCTTGGAAGCTGCACAAGCAGCTTGTCCTCAGTGGATTTCTGAGTATGTACATGTTATACCAAGTGGAAGTAAAGAACAGCAACAGCTGGATGAGACGGGGAAGAAATTCTTCCTCATCTTTCCTTCTCCAGTCTTTGGATGCGATTTTTACCTGGTCTAAATAAAAACAAAAGTTTCATGTACGTATCTGTTCCTTAGTTTATTTGAAAAGCCATGGTCTTTCAAGTGTCACAGTAGGCAGTTTCAGTCCTGTAAGTAGAAGGAAGCAGCTGCAACACTTAACCTTTAAAGGTTTCCTCAGTGACATGCACACCTTTGTGGTTCATAATAGTAATTACTGCTTTTGTTTGTACCTCAGAACTACTGCTTTTGTTTGTACCTCAGAACTCACATTGCAAAAACACTTGTATGATCACTTTATACCTAAGCGATACAGTCTCAAGTGCTTCTGCAGTAGGAAGGTGCATCCTTATTTTAGTGCACTTTAGTAGAAATGTGACTAATGGATGTTTTTTCAACATTCAAGTATGCATAATTTTCCCCTCTCCTTATTTCTAGAAATAATTTAATAGGAAGGGTTCCTACTTACCTTTCAAGACCAATCCATGCTCTAGAATGTGTTCAGACATTTGGAAATATCCATGATAGTAATATGTGCCCTGTCCTGTGAGGAATTTCTGCAAGTTGCAATCCTCTATTGTAAATAAAAATTCCTTGGTTGATGACTGCACTTCTAGTTGTCTTTAGTAGCTCTTCCTTTTTACTGTAATTCTTACAGAAGTAGTTGGTAGGTTCTTCCTGGAGATCACCAACTTTAACAGACATGTCTTCAAATTTAGAATCACAACTCCAGCAGCTACATAAAAGCATGTTCTCAGGTGTACCAGCTTGAATAAGCATGGTTTTCTTGCAGGATTTTAGCAAGTTTGAACTGTGAATGCACACAGTCTCCTTAGTTGCAGAGGCTATGAATGACTGGAACAGCTCTTTCTATTAATAATATGGTGGCTAACCTCTGGCATATGTACCAAGTAGCTGAATACCAGACCTTGTTGTTCAGCATGGCAACTCCCTCACTCTACCCCCAAAACTGGTGTATTGGTGCTGGAGTGCAGCTCTAGGACTGTTCTTAGTTATGGAACAATATCAGCCACTGCCAATAAATACTAGTAAGTCTATACCAAAGCTTAGTGCTTTGTCTGCCAAGTGCTGCTGTCACTCAGTGCACTCAGACTGTGAGGTGGGCCAGTATGTTGTACTACTTTTTCAGGGAAACAGAAGCTGTCATTGCTACCATTTCCCCTCAGGTGGAGCCACATGTAGCCTAATGCATCCTGCAGCTGTCTAGAAAGGCAAGACAATCATAAACTGGTTGGAACCAGCTTCAAGTGAGGTCACCTGCCATGTCTGAACATCCTATATACCCATCAGTAGTATTGCTGCTGCCTTCAGCCATCAGAAATCTCTTTATCCAAAACGGCTCTTTACCGTGTTGTTGTTGTTGTTTTAAATCAGTTCAAAAGCAAATTTGGATATGATCAAACCAAAAGCAGGCAACATTACATTCTGCTGGAAATGTAAGTTCAACCTGAAGAAAGGCTGCAACCAAGAAACATGAAATTTATACTACCTAACATTTACTCCTTCAGGGCTGAGTATATGGCACGATTCCAGAGCATACAATCCAGCTTCTCTAAAAACCCATGTTTTCTTGTTTAAGAACACACAGTGGAATCATCTCACAACAACATTTTACTCAAAAAGTACAGAAGCAGCATCTGGTGAAGTTTGAAGCCAGAGAAGCTGAAGTGACTTTCGGAGTAACGGGGTGGAGGAAGAGATGCTTCAATGCCCCACACTGCCTACCCCAAGGATAAATTACACTAATGATAAGAATTATAGAATTTATACAGGTTGCACAATTTTTTGTATCCTTGGTACTGAATGTTATAAGCACAAAAGCTACCTTCTAAAAGGGTATAAAACTGAAAATCTTAAAACCAGTATTCACACAATTTTTAGTATCCAAGACAGTATTCTGACAGACTGCCTACATATTTTCAATGATAGTTGCTTATTCTCCTAAAATCAGAAAGAACCAGAATAAGAACCTCTCAAAGGTTAGATTTAACCGAGCAAGGTAGTATCACATGAATCTTACTATACTTGTTTTTCTCCAGCAGTTTAGGTAAATCCAAGTGGAACAGAGAGGATAATTTCTGACACCTCAGTTGATATTTGCATTGCATTACACACAAGATCATACAATTTTCAAATCCTCAAAAAATGAGAAAGTTGTAGTATACTTTGTATTCTAACCTTGCCATAAAATGAGCTCTTTTTAAAGAAAATTGCTCATGGTCTAAGAGTTCAACTACATAAGAGATAGTTTAACAGGTTCCACAGCATTGATAGACCTTTGGAATGAAAATTTGTATTGCCTTTTTAAAAAATTGGTTCTGCAGCATGATCTATACAGTTAAGCCTTTACTGCATCATATTTATCTGTCCACGGACAAGATTAGATTCCTATCATAAAAATAAATGCTTCCTTAATTAAGCTTTGAACAGACAGACAAAACAATGGAATAAAAATGAACATTTATTACAACTAAACTGATGTGATACTAAGACAGTGTTCACATAGTTTGTCACAATCACAACAAAGCTTTTCCAACCAAGCACGTACAAGGCAACGTGTAAACCTTAAAACATGTTTTGAATACATATGAAATTATGTTCAGGTTGACATTCTGAAGTGTTCAGTAATTTCAGCGTCACAGAGGGCTATTCTAATGTTACTCAAAATCAGTTTTTCCTGGCTTTCCATTACTGAAATGTAGAACTGGGCTTTTCTGTCCCTTATACAAACATTGTCCCAAGACTTCCATTGTTGTGGTCAGTATCAGTCATGAAGAAACTCTTTTACGTTTATGGCACTGTTTTACAGTAAAGCATTTGGATGCTTTAGAATACACTGATCACAGCAAACAGAGCCACAAGGGATTAATTTAGTAGTCATGTGTCAATTGAAGGGTGCATGTTTAAGAGGGTTATAAAAGCACAAATACACAAACACATAGGAAGTGCTTTTGGGAACAGGCAGTCTGTACTGAGGTCTCCCTTTTATGAATTGAACAAAAGACACACAGCAAAATATAAATTACAGTAAACAACAGTATGGCTTTCTGACATCTGTGCAGCCCAATCCTGTGCATGATTACTGAGAAACAAGTCTCATTTTGTTCAATGAGACTTGCATCCAATTAAAAGTACACAGGACTAGCTTTTCCAGTGTAAAGTTTGCTTCCCTAGCATAGTTCACTTTCCTACTAAATGTAACGTGTGAGGTGGAGTTAAAGATCACAATAATTAAAAATAAGGATTGTCAAATTATCCAAGTAGTTGCTCTGGTGTAAAGTATAACAATCATGATATTGGTAAATGTAGACAGAAAGTTTTGTTTCTAAGGACAGAGGAAATCCATTCTCACATTTACATTTCCCTTATTTACCTTTTCAGTTTATATCAACAATTTCCAGATGATTTTTGCATTAATACTGCATTATGCTTTTGAATAGATTGTGATATCAAACTATACTGTCTAAACAAAAAAAAAAGTTTCCCCCCCCAAAAGGAAATGCCACACAGCCTGTGTTCCCTTTTTTTAGTAAATGAACTAATTTTTGAGGTTGAATTTTTTAATACTATATACTTTCATTCTGATTAAATTTTTTACAACTCTGTTGCTAAAATGAAGCTACTGTAACAGTTCACAACAGTTTAACTTGCAGACTTTTATAGGATTCTTTGGTATAGTAGGCGGCCATACATGGTTGTTTCCCTCCAATCTTCAGCAATGACCTAAACTGAGTTTTAACAAATGCTGACTTTATAGAAAAAGTCTTTGGTTGCACAAAGCCAAGTTCTACATTGAAGCATTTCACTTGTTGCCTTACACAGTTGTTTCTTTTCAATATATGGCATACTGCATACCACACAGGTTTACATACATTGTGTGATGGCAATTTGATTTTATAAATAACTTTGCCATCTAAGACTTATCAATGGTCTTAAATACTGTGCTTTAAAATTACTGTAAAATCCCTTTTATTCTTTTCAAAAGGTTTTAAAAATGTTTTCTCCCTTTTTTATTTTACAGTAAACAGAATTTTTCTTGTAGGCCTGAATGAAGTAGCTTAGCAGAACAGTAATACTGACAAATAGCATCATAACACCACTAGCTAACATTAAATGGAGGCAGTGAACATTTACAGTTATGTGAAACATCACACAAGACATCAGCAAAGGCAGCAGCTTATGTCAGTCCAATTTCTTCAAGTACACTACGAGGGGTCTCCGCTTCCTGTGAAAGATAAATTAGAGAATGAACAGATCTCGTGTTCTGGTAAAAGCACACATGCTGAGTCAATATGGGTTAAATTCCATATGAAAGCTAAATTCCATATGAAGGCTATGTCGTGTGAAAATTCACCAGAGATACAGAACATCTTACACTTTAATAGTTATGTTTTTGTAACAATTTGTCTTTGAAGGCTTGACTCCGCCTTTAGGAGACAATTCAGCAGATAATTACTTCTATTGCCAAAAATATTTCAATACACTTCTGTAAAGTTTGACAGCTACACTTAAAATAATGAAGTAACAATGGAGCTTGTTAGATACAGTCTGTTAAATTCTACCACTCTGCTCAGCTAGGTGTGGACTTGTCCCAAGGATTCTTTGTCAGGTGGAAGTGACTCTTCCTCCAAAAGAAAGCTACACTGAGCAGTAGGATACCACCAAAAAGGGGGGGGGGGGGAACCTAAGTTAGCAAAGTTTACAAAAAACAATCCAATCAAGAGACAACCAACCCAAAGACAACAGATATTTTATGAGGAAGTGATGAGAAATGATCTAGAACACTGCCATTGATAAAGTCATTTTGGATCAGGTGTTTCAATGCTGCAAAATTATTTTGAGGGTTTTTTTTTAAATATTTAACGTGGCTTTTAATATGCTTGAACTGATCTTGAAATGTTAAGCAGCAGTTGAAGGAACAAAATTATGCTCCTAATTCCTGAGTCAATAGAAAACTATCATGTCTATTTTTAATGTTAAATTAAAAGCACAGCAATTTCTGTATTACCACAAAGTGAACACTTACTTTAGCATCCTAAATAAGGCATGGACCAAAAACAAACAAAAAAATGAAGTTAACAGTTTGCAACCACTTCTGAGAAAATGCAGTATTAAAATGTGCAAGAACATTAAAAATGTATTCTGTAACAAATGAACTCATGGATTTCAAAGATAAATTGTGAGCTAACTTTAATACAGAACTATTGGATTAAAGATGATTAATTAAATCAATTTCAGGTTCATCACCTGAAGGCAAGCTCAGGCAACTGTCAGGGGCTCAGGGCTAAGATACCTACCTTTATTACATGATTACATACTGATAAGTCATCCTTCTAAAAAGTTATAGAAAAGGGAAGGAAGCATTCTGACCTATGCAAAATAGTTCCACATGTGTAAGAGGACCCAGGTTCTCCTAGAATCTCCAGATTAATGCAAATGTTGCTTACAGTTATCAGTATGACTGGGAACCTACCACCTGATTTAAGCCACAACAGACAAATTGCTGTAGGGAACTGAAAACCAAAGAATATGAAGAAGTGTTACATCATGTTCTTTATTAACAAGTAGATTCAGTGGAAGAAGGGCTCCTTTCCTTCCTATTCATGTGGTAGACTACAGTTCTCACAAATGGACTGGCTCAGGGAAAGGTGGACTGCTACTGGCCGAACTATGTAAAGAAACCCTTTCTCTCCTCCCCCACTAATGAACTGATCAAGGAAGAGCTGCTGCCTGGAACATTTCACGGAAAGTGGATTCATTCACAAGATCTATTAGGGCTTAGAGTTCTTCTGGATTGTCCTCAACAGGTCCTAGGAGAAACTAACTTTGTGTTGCAAGCAGTAACAAACATTTTATAAAGGTAAAGGCTCGAAAGCAAGTCGAATCCGACACTAGGGTTGCAGTGCTCATCTCCGTTTCAAAGCCGAAGAGCCAGCGCTGTCCGAAGACGTTTCTGTGGTCATGTGGCCGGCATGACTAAACACCAAGGCGCATGGAACGCTGTTACCTTCCCACCGAAGCAGTACCTATTTATCTACTTGCAGTTTCTTGTTTTCGAACTGCTAGGTTGGCAGGAGCTGGAACTAGAGACGGGAGCTCACTCCGTCGTGTGGCACTCTGGGTCTCGAACTGTTGAACTACTGACCTTCCACAGCCTGCAGTTCAGCGTCTTAACCACTTGAGCCACCGCAGCATTTTCTAATTTTCTAATACCTTACAAAAATGTAAAAGTTGATTTCTGCTTCAAACTCTAAAACCAGTGTACTGTTGGGTATATATTCTCAGTTAGCAGCAGCAGCAAAAATATCTGAGAAAGTTATATTATAAATTGTTATAGATTTTCCGGGCTGTATGGCTGTGGTCTTGGCATTGTAGTACCTGACGTTTCGCCAGCAGCTTGTTCTTTTATTCTTGTCTAGATACTACTCTGTGTGGTCCCAATGTAAACCTGTCCACATGAAAGAGCATGAAAGACACTGCAGACTTGGTCAACCTGAAAAATCAGCAGTGGCTGAAGATAGGCTAACTCAAACAGGACACAGTATCTTATTCCAAGACACTGAAAGGCTGGACAACACATTCAATTACCATGTCAGATTACACAGGGAAGCCATTGAAAATCATAAACATAAACACAATTTCAACAGGAAAGAAGAGAGTTTAAAAATAAATAGGGCATGGTTTCCTGTCCTGAAAAACACAAAATGCTCTACATCTTACAACAGCACTACAGATAAGATTAGCATGTCACAGCCAGGGAAACTCTTACAAGATAATGACTCAGCCCTACCCCACCTTTCTGAGTAGATATAAATTACCTGCCTACCATTTTTCTTCTCACATTGACACAGAGAGTACTCAATCTTTCTGTGTTATACCTCTGAGGATGCCAGTCACAGCTGCTAGCGAAACATCAGGTACCACAATGCCAAAACTATGGCCATACAGCCTGGAAAATCTACAACTAATGAACGCCGGCCCTGAAAGCCTTTGACAACATATTATATTGTAAAGTTGCCATATTTACATATATAGGTAAGTTCACATATTTGAGTAGATGTTTGAAAATGAGAATCATATCTAAGATTGTTTTGAATAACGCTGTTGAATTTAATCATTTTAGAAAGTGTTTCACATGTTGTAGGTTTGCAGATCAGAATTATCGGAAGACAAAGTGCACAAACAGCAAATATACCATAGCAGAGAGGTGGGGAAAAAAAAGCCATTCACATGAGCAGTGCATGCAATACTTTATTACAGACATGCTATGAAGTCTAATGCATAGTCATTTACAAGCATGCAACTGTATAAAGCTATAAACAGACCATAACACCTCATTAGCACTCCATGCATAGTATTTTAATGCTTCTAGCATAAAATAATGCAAAACAGCATTTACCATATTTAGCCATAGAAGCAATTAACATCTTGGGGAGAAAAAAAGAGAGACAGAAGGAGGCAGACAGGCAGTCTTTATAATGGGAAAATTTCCTGTATGATTTCCTACTAATACGACCCAGAATGCTGCAGATTCAATATAACTTCTTCACTGTAACCTAAATGTCATGTTAATACTTCAGAAGTAGCACAATACCATATGACATCTGGTTTTTTCTACCCTGTGTGGGTGATTTAGCTAAACCCCCTCCTATTTTTAATCACCTTTTAGAAAAATGTCAGTCTCAAAATTTTGAGTGATATAAACCGAAAGATTTTTTCTGTGTTTGCACTCTGTGCATTTTAGCCCAAGAGTTTGAAGCTAGCAATGCTCCTTTTTATTTACAACATGTTTAGGTCTATGGATGCTCTTTTATGTTTTTCAACAAGCTATGAAAGACTTATAACTACAGTGTGGGGGTTAGCACTGTTAATATGCCGGAGATGAGCATGCAGAGCTACTCCAATATGATAATAAACAGGACACAGCCCTGGCATATACAGGAGGTCTGTATGTTCATGAAATACTGTGATCTTTGTATTTACGGAATGTGTACATTAGAGTTTCTAGAAATGCAAGGATCCAAGTATTTCAATTAAAATTCAATAGGTGGGTCAATTGGCAAAGTGTTTCAAAGTAGATTCTATAATATGAATTTGATTAACATTTTTTCAGCCTTCAGTGATTATCATAATGACCAATATATAACGGTATGTTTTGTAAACTGACATTTCATTTAGAAGATCTTAGGGCAAGTCATGGAACCTACAAAAACTGAATTTATACTCAGTTTAATGGAACACTGTACCAAGGAATGAGTATTTAAAGTGTAAAGTTAAGGTCAGTAAATTATTTCAGCTTGAATATTACATGCTGTCTCACATACTTGTGATAAGATCTGGATGTTTTAACATAGAAATTATGACATGCTGACAAGACATCAAATTGTGACATATGGAAGGAAAGAAACAAACATGGCAAATGAAAGGAAGAGAGAATATACAACAGCAAAAACAACAGCGTGATATACACTAATTTGTTCAAGATGATTGGATTCACCAAGCTGAGGAAAGTGTTCTGCCATGAGTAAGTCAGCTCTATCGCCTCTCTGTATGCATGATGAAGTCATTTAGTATACTGGGACATTAAAGTATTCATGACGTGGCTACAAAAGAAATACATACATTCTTTACAAATAGTACAGATGTTTCCATGCACACAACTACAATTGCTCTTTTAATTTACTACTTCTAATACATATTACACTAGACCAGCCTTTTGAACTACATGTACCTTACTGAGGCTCAAAAAAAAAAATCACATTATTGGTTTTAGATGTTTAGTTTCATATAGCCTTTCAGAACTTGCTAATTTTTTTAATGACTGCTTCAATTAATGCTTGTGGAGAGCTTACACCATGCATAGGTACTATCAGACATTTTGTTTGGACATGGTTGTGTTATTAAAGGCACCAGAGTTTCATCTGCATACTTTTGATTGGAGCTGACAACCAAATTACCAACAGGCATTTTCATACCATATTTCTGCTTTCAGAGAAGTTTATTTGGAGAAGAGTGATGGGGGGAGTGGAGAGTGCAGTGGAGTAAATTAAACTACTCAAATTTTCAACTCCATACAAATAACTACAAATTTTCAACCATACAAATAACTACTGACTTGTTTAAGAACTCTCTAAAGGCAATCTTTAAACTAGAGGTTAGCTAACATTTACACTTTACAGAGGGTATTCTTGTTATATGTATTAATGCTTCAGTCACACAATGACCACATTCCTCTTAATCCATTTTAAATCACCTGTATTAATATTTAACACATTCATAAAGTATTAACATTCCAAGTCAGCTAACTGTTAATTAACTGTACAGATATGGCGACTTAGTCCTAAGTAGCAGGAAATCCCCAAAGCCAAATTAACAAGATCTTAAATTCCTTTATGTTTATTCTAGAACAGCCTCAGAATAATCAGAGCACTCATAAAACCAATCGTGACAAGAGAGGCTACTCCACAGATCCTTCAGAAAAAAAATCATGCATGCACACTTATTTCAAGGTCAATAACCCATGCGTAAGAGCAACTGGACTGTATTTATTCATCCTAGTTTCTAGTAGTCAAACTGAGAATTTAATTTAGGTTACATCTAGGTCAAAATGAAAGACCTATGTATCCTGGCATTTCTGTATGTGCTCAAGAACAAGACTCATTCCACACAAGTTTCTCTCTTTCTCTCTCTTTCACACACACACACAAACAAAACAAAAACAACAACAACAAAACCCCTGGTCATGTTGCCAGTGCAACTGTTGTTTAGATCACAGTTGCAGCTGAGATGTTAATCCATTTTTAACCTAGTTAGCCATGATTTTCCTTTCACACTAGATACAGAATGAATCCCTGCCCCCAGGTGTCATGCCATCATAATTTTCTGCCCACCTTAAAAAAAATGGTGCATGAGTAGTACTGCTCAAGAAGAATACAAAACTCATATTGAAATTTAAACTTCCTATGGAAACTAAGAATATGTTGTTATGAATACTGCCTAACAAATTACCAAAAGTTTTGGAAGAGATATTTAAAT